TTAATTTATCAGGAATTATCTTAAATTTAAATATATATTTGGATCCTCCTGTTCTCAATATTTCTAAAGCTTGCATGTGCTTTCTATGTAGCACATCTAAGTCTATTCATATGTAAAAAATAATTTCTCATCATCACTTTTGTCTTATGTCTCAATTACCATAACACATATTTTAAGCTCATGACAAAAGTAATCTTCTCAGCAAGTACAAAACTGCTTCAAGTACAATTCCTTTTATTCCACTACTTTGACCATGTTACTGGCCTACTTTCTCCACTATGATGGACTCTCTTCTCCATTACATGAAATTAAAAAGACTTTATTTGATTTTTTTAAGTCCTTCCAGGCATTTATTGATGTATTAATTACCTTCTAATGACTACTCAGGCATTGAATCTCACTTCCATTTAGTTCATGATACCTGTCTCAGCCAAGTATTTTATTTTCCAACAGCCCTTGCATAGTGCCTTCATATTCAAAGGGTGCTTGCAAAGCTTCATTATTTTCTTTTTAAGAGGCCTCTTAAAATACATCCCATTTGAGATGCCAAAAACTGAATTATAGTTAGAAATGGCTAGTGTACCAGGGGTCTCGGTACCAGGGCCAGTGTACCATAGATTTATTCCTTATCTCTTTTTCAAATTTCTTTGTAAATTATCCAATATTGGAACAATCCTTTTTGTTCTTTTTTGTCCACTGAAATATGGAATAGCACAATGTATTCTTCTGGATCTTCAGTACAGGAAGAGACATTAATAGATTGTCCTTAGTACATTGTGCAGTTTAGAATGCGTAATTGAAGATTTCAGCCTTTCCCCTTTCCCCTTTTTAGCTATGCCTAGAAGAACTTAATGCTGTCATCCAGCTGAGCATAGTCATTCGCAAAAACTTTTATTAAACATTTACTCTACAATTTTTTCTGGACACTGACCTCCATACTGAAGTAGCTGAAGAACTTGACTTTTGTACCTTTTAGTGTAACACACATTCACATACCTGCAGTCTGCTATGCAGTTTTGCTCATGCTTATCTAGTTGATGCTGGTGAGTTGATTTCTCAAATGAGTGAGGTTTATGCACATTAACAAAATTTGGAAAAGTGAAACCTCACCTTTTGAGAAGTACCAACTTATCTTTTTTCTATTTTAAGAAAACATGCCTAACAAGTAAGCATTTACTTATTTAAATAAGTTTTGTGATTTTACTGGTATCAGAAAAAGTTTGAACTGCCTCACAATTAGGTTTTAAATTAGCACATCCATCTACTGTATTACTTTTGGAATAGGTCCATTTCACCAAAGTAACAGAATATAATGTTTTAATGAACAGGATTTATCAAACATCTAATGTAACACCACTTTATGACAGACTACACTAACAGTCTAGAAAAGGCTACTCCCTAAATATCTTTACTACTCACTTATAGAAGTGACAGGTTTCAGTACCAAAGTATATATTCTCAACCTTTGCATTATTCTATTCCACTTTTAAACATTATTTTCAATCTTACAAGAGCACTGATATTCTTTAATACACATTCACACTTAAGTGCAAGTCTAGTGAACTAATCTCCTGACAGCATAAAAATTACATAGCACCAATAAAAATAAAACAATGTGTTTATACTTCTTTTAGGAATATATTTCCTTTAGGAAGGAAATCTGTACAAATTTTAATCTTATAATGAACTAATAAAAAATATTTCTTTTTGCACTTTTTTCTTTTTTGTTAATCTCAATTATAATTCTAAATTAGTTTAATTTCCAAGTAACACATTCGAAGTTTCTCCCTCCTTTTTAAGTATTTCCAAATCTCCCTGCCCAAAGCAGTTTTTATTCCAGCTTCCCTCATTATAGTTTGAGGGGCAGTAAGGGAATTTCCTAGTTATTAACATAGCCCGGCCTATTATTGGATCAAATTCCACCCTGCCAATGGAGCAAGTCCAGCAACATGAACACATGTTTTCATTAATGGACTAGTACAAGATACGTCTTTCTGATATGGTCCTAAGAGGGATACTGAAAAAATTCCAAATCTCTGTTATACATCATATCAAATGTCATCAACTTGTTTGCGTGCTCATCTTCCACTGCTAGCCCATGAGTTAATTTGGGGTTTTGTTTGTGTTTTAGGGTTTATTCCCATAATAAAATCTATGTGTTTCCAGGATTAGATTCTTAAAGGTGAAGTATGTAGTAGCTGCTGAATCTGGAACTGGAACACTGACACTGGAAGAATTTCTATCAAAATAGAAATATTCTGTTTCTTGAATGTACTGCCCCAGGAGACGCACCCTTGGAGATAACTTTGCCTTTCATGAAGCGATGGAAACCACAGAACATGTTAGATATTAAATGGAATATTCACATCTATTCCAATGTTCTGAACGAAAACAAAGGAAAATCTTTCTTAAGTCTCTACACATTGTTACATTCCTTAAATACATGAGGTGAAAGCAAACCTGAAGGGCTGTTGTAGATCTGCACAGACCTGAGAGTAAATAGAACAGGCTTGCATAGACCTGGCATAGATCTGCATTCACCTGAGAAAAAGCTATTTTTGTTAATAGCAACAGTTTTCTCTCCTATAAGACTGCCCACAAAGTTCTAATAAGTAAAAGACTGGTAGAGACAATTATGGGAAGATGGACTGAGGCAGACTAGTGGTTGTTGACAGAGTAAAGTACTCCTGTTCAAATATTGTATCTAATGTAATGCAAGAAGTCCTGCCTTTTTGGGAACTTTTAAGTACATTCACTACTTCAGCTGACAATGTTTTAAAATCCTTCTGTATTGAAATGGTCTTGCCCTTAGCTTTTTGCTAAAACTAACCAAAAAGTTACCTTAAAATGAGCATTTGTGTAGTGTAGAAAACAACTCAGAACCTGTCCAAAAGTTTAAGCCAAGCCAGTGGCTAAAAGCAGCAAATATTATTACAGTCAAGAGTATGGGGGAGTGAGTAAGCACATTTTAAGACTGATTCCCCTTATGAAATTACACAGATGACTGCAGTTTGAGACTTCCTTTCAGGTTCTGTTACTACAAGACAAACATTCTGTGTAGGAGACTGAGAAAGGTGCTTCTGTGTTCCCTCAAAGAGATGGGTGATCTTTTGGGTGTCATGAATTTGACCTCAGGATTGTATGTCCAACTTATTATTAGAGATGTAACTCCATGAAATCTTTCTGTATGCCAATTTGTCTAGAAAGAGAGGACAGACTTAAATAACTTACCTAAATAATGAAAGACAGGGTGAAGAATAAATAAAGAATTAAGCTATTTAATGAGAAACATAAATCTGTTTTCTGCCCCGCCTGCCCCCCCCCCCCAAAAAAAAAAAGATAAAAACGGTGACAACTAATGCAATGAGTGGCATTTCACTTTTGTCTCTTCAGATTCTCTTTACTTCCCTTGTAACCTTGGCCAAACTTTGTTGCCTACTGCATCATCTACTGACTCTTCTTCGCTTCTCTTTTCCACAGTTGTTCTTCAAACTTGGGCTTGATTCTGCTGTCGACAGATAGGTGTCTAATGACTTTTCAAATGTCCTTTAACATTTACTTGGCCTCCATCTGCATTTCCAGAGTCCCTCACAAGTTCAGTCATATCTGCTATTCTGTGTACACATTTTGGCTAACTTAGGACATCTCAAATAGTACTAGATGCCTCTTTGCAGGCAACTCTGTCATGTCTTTGCTGTCTCACAATGATTTTCAGATACTATAATTGCAAACTATTGCTATTGTAATCTTTGCTAGGAAAAGGATGAGATTGCTGTGGAGACGCAAGAAATAAAGATTTTTTTTTAAATATTAAAAAAAGCCAAAAGTATTAAACCCCATGCCAAGCCATGCCTGTGTAGAAACAGAATCTACCACCTTCATTTTCTGGAATGTTTTACAAATCCTTTACTTTTTAACATCATAAAGATTCTATCCAGGAAAGCTTACCAAAGCCTTTCCTTTGAGAATTTATAAAGGAAAAAAATTGAAGTCCACTGGCTCTGAAGGTACTTGCCCATAATCTGAACAACTGTAAGCAAATACTCCAGTTATTCTGTATACAAGGAATGCTTATCACGTTCACACAACTGCCATTACCACCCAACCATGCCTTTTCTATAAAACTCCAATCAAACACAGGCACAGAAAAATGACCCGAGTGCTCTGGCCTTTGAGAGCTCCATCATCTCTGAGCTCTTAGGATCAAAACTAAAAAAAGATACAATTATCTTACTGAATGTGTTCCTCAGATGTTATAAAATATAATTTCCAAGATGGAATTTAAAGTCCCTAAAGAATTCTGGTATGCAAAGTGGTATTAAGGCTTCCCTAAGAGATCTGGTGGAGCTTTGAGTTTCTCCCCCCACCTCTCCCTGAATGTGCTACCACTACAATGCTCTAACTTCCCTCTCATGTTCTGATGCTGCTGAAATGGAGCTCTGGAAAATGCTACTGCACATTTCAGCTTCTGAAACAGCTTCTGGAGGAGAGAACTTTAAGAGTGTTCCACTGCTCTGAATTGTGCCAAGACTGAAAAGTCACCTCCTTTTACATTTCTACAGTAGATGAATACACAGACAACAGAAGCTTTCGTCACCTCTCCCCTCTGGATCCCAAGTTGAAGAAAGAACAAAATCAACTTTTGAGTGAGTCTTGAACAAACAATAAAGTCATTTTTAAAGTTTAGGAAGTTAATCTGGGAGATCCAAGTTTTCTGTCACATCTCAGCATGATTTAACTACTTACAGAATTTACTAACCTCTAAAAACCATTTCTACAGCAAATTAAAAACTATAAGAACATAACAGAACCAAATCACTACACATTTTAATATGTTACTGGTTTTAAAAACCAACTTCAAGTGCGTTCAAGTGCTAGCTGGCGAGGCATATAGGATCTTCTGCTGCATTTTCCAAAAACCTTGGAAGTAAAAGTAAGAATAATTTTGTTTAAAAAAAAAAGACTGAAAAGACATACTTTTTTTTAAAAGAACAAATTACCTGACAAGGCTTTTTCATTTTAATGGCTATAACATGGTATCTGTAACAGCAGAGTTCACAGGTCCATGACCCTCTTTCACTTATCCACTTTAAGAGGCAAAGCTGATGCGTGTATCGTACCGAGCCATCACAGCGGCAAGGGTTTAACAATTCACCCTGGAAAGGCAATACAGAAATGTTAACTTTAAAGGAACCTTTCACATACATGTACACTCAATACCAAAATCTTTAGGGGGTCTGTTACAATGACTTGGTCTCAATTTCACAATCTGGAAAAGCATGTATTTTTGGCTATGAAATACTCAAAAATGTAACTGTCTTAAAAATACCTAGCTGCTTCTTCTGATAAAAGCCAGAGAGCTGTCTACACATGTTCATGTACCTGTGTGAAACAACTGAAATATTACCTTGCATTAAACAACAGTACCATTAGCCATTTCAAATACCTCAAAAGATACCAAAAGTGGTTTGGATACTTTTCTGCAACAGCTATTTGAAGTCATCACTTAGAAAGAAATGTGTGATGTCACAATTCCAAGAGAGCCTTACTCTTGGAGCATGACTCTGCGCTGTCCAGCTAGCCAGCTGTCAGAGAGGACCTTAAATAATGTACGTAAGCACTTCCCCCAGTAGTTTCTGTATTATATAAATCAGCTGTTCTCTTCTTTCCAACTCCAAGACAAGCTATAAAATGCTAGTTACAGATCCATCGCTGATATTATGCCCAGTAACGTCACGACAGAGATGATACTTGGAGGTCTTCTCAGCATTACCTGTAAGCTAACACTCTCATTTTAAAGTCTAACAGAAACCTGAGAAATTCGTACTGTGTAGAGTCCCTGTGAGGTGAACCAGGGAGCGGGAGCGCCAGAGGACACCCAGCGTGCGATGCAGACACGGCAAAATCCCCTGAATTCCCCCAAAGCTTTGCGCCGGCTCAGGTTCGCCCCAGGCTCTTGCCACAGCCAGCCCGCCCAGCGGCAGCCGGGGAGGGCGATTCCAGCCGGGGA